GACTGCATATCTATGCTTAGCCAAGTTTGCATATAATAACTCTGTTTATGCATTGACTCAACAAACACCATTCTTTTTTAATTATGGGTATCATCCGAAGTTTGATTTCTTGAGTCCATCAACTAATAATAACCTGACAATTGAAGGATTTGTGAAACAACTATCGAAGCTTCAATTACAAACCGCCTAAGAAGCTTACAAGGCGTCCGTAGATAAATTTTGAAATCAGGCACCTAGTTTCAAAATTGGAGATAAAGTATGGCTGCTTTGATGGAATATCAAAACCAAGCGACCATGTGATAAGTTGGACTACTAGAGATTGGAACCATTTGTCATCTAGAAGTAAAACAATTTAGTGGCGGTTATCGGTTGAGATTACCGGTTGCTATGAAGGTACACCCAATCTTTCATGTTTCTTTGTTGGAGCCTTATTGAGAGTCGTCTTTTCCTAGAAAAGTGGAATATCTACCACCTACTATTGTAATTGAGAACCATGAGGAATACGAGGTAAAAAAGGTACTAGATTTGCAATGTAAGTGGAAGAATTTGGAGTACCTAGTATATTGGAGCGGCTATGATATCAATGAATGCACATGGGAACCAGCGAAAAATCTTATGAATGCATTGCAAAAGATACAAGAGTTTCATCGATGCTATCCTCAGAAACCTAAGCCCTTTTGATGAAAGTTTTTCAGTGAAGTTCCTTCTCCTTGAAGTCTCTTAATCCTTGGCCTTACAAAGAAGGGAGAGAAAGAACCTCTAAAAAATATAGTTAGAGACTATAAATCTGTAACTTGAGCCCATTCTTCCATGTTTAGTACTTGTATTTTTCGGTCTGATATAGATAGCTAAGAGATAGATACCATATCTATCATTTCTTTTCAACTAAGTATCTCACAAAGACGACCCCGAGATGAAGAACTACATGTACCACAAAGATGACAAAGGATATCTAGTAACAAGTCCCTAGTGATTGTGTTTGAGGTAGAACCTACCTACGGTGAACTTCCCGAAAGAATGTTTGTAGGGCATTTTTACAATGAAGACACAGAAGTTCATGCTTAGTCAAAAATCGAAGGCGTAGGATACTATTGTTGGTTACAAGGACCAATGAACTACTTATCGCGTGAACAATAATTGGAGTATATTGTAGACACTATGCAACACATTTTCAGCTACTTACGTTGGTATTGACTCGCAATAGGAGTGCTTCTCAGAGATGTTGAAGCTAAAGGGGAGGTGATGTCAAGGACATACACTAGGAAGTTGTAGAAGATTCTAGAAGATTCTAGAGAAGCTTTGTAGTTTATAGAAGCTACTTGAGAAGTTTTCAAGCTCTTGGAAGCTGCTTGAGAAGCTTCCTAGCTTGTGGAAGTTGTTTGAGAAGCTTCATAACTCATAGAAGCTGCTTGAGAAGCTTCTTAGTTTTTGGAAGCTACTTGAGAAGCTTCCTAGCTTGTAGTATATATAGGAGCCGAGATTAAGGGGATCCTTTGTCTCGACAAGACACCTCTTGGAGCTCTAACTCACTTCTCTAGTATTGTTCTTGTACTCATTTGATTAATCTAGTTCTTGTCGATTCTTCTTGAACTTCTTGTTTAGATTTCTAGTCAATATTCTAAATTCGTGATAGAACTTCATGTTTGTTGTATATTACAAAAATTTAAAGATGTAGAATTATATGCTAAAATAGAAAAAATTATACTTCATACAATTAAAAATAAATTTTTAGAATATATCATTCAAATGATGGCCTCATAATGGATCCTAAAAAATTTAGATTATCATGGATGAAAAGATTTTAAGAATAATAAGAGATATTGAATACTTTTTGAAAATTTTCAATTACTATCATATCTTTATTAAGTAATTTTTTGAAATTGTATCTCCACTTATATATTTAACTTGAAATGACAACTTGAGTGGAATAAAGAAGTTGAGGCATCATTTGAAGTTTTGAAGATAATTTTTATAATACTTTCAATCTTACATTATATTGATTTTTTTAAGTATGTTTTAATAAAAAAGTATATCAAATTTTTTTTTTAGTGAAAAATTATCACAAATGAAAGTATATAACAAATTTCACCATGTAGCTTTTTATTTAAGAATTTTTTTAGTAATCGAGATGAATTACAAGATCCACAATAAAAAAAAAAATTGTAATTGTAGATTTATTTTAAAAATGGCACCCTTATCTAAAATGTGCTTCAAGTCCAATAATTATTTATACAAATTACAAGAATCTTAAATATTTTATATCAATCCATCTTTTAAATTGTCAAAAAATCCATTGGAGCATGTTTTTATTAAGATTTGAATTCAAAGTTACTTATTGATCAGAAAAATAACATGGTTTATTAGACATCTTTTCTAAACTTTCTTATCTTGCACCAAAAAAATGAAATCTAAATTTTAATCAATAAAAAAATAATTTTTATGAAGCCATAGAAATTTTATATTCAAGCAATGATATCAACATTGAGTATAAATTCAAACTTTTTTAATCATGTTCAATGAAGTATGTCTTCAATTTTTTTTGTTTAAGTATTAAAAAAAATCCTTTTAAATTACATAATATTTTTAAATTTGAATTCAAAAATAATTTATTCTATTTCAAAGGATGTTTATATGGTTTTGAAGATTAAGTTTAATTACATATTTTTTTAATTTATTAAAAAATTTTAGCTACAAAATATTTTAGATATTTAATAAAACTTTGGAATTAATAATTTTTAGTAGCTTTAAATGAGGAAGGAAATTAAGAAATTTATAAAATCTTTTGATATTTATCTAAGATCAAAAATTCCTTTTCATTGATCTTATGGACTTGTCTAGCCACTACTAGTATTAAAAAAAACCATGGTTTTTTTTTTTTTTTTTAATGTATTTTATAATAGATCTTCTAATCTTAAGTTTTTATGTATTTATAATTATGATAGTAGATAGTTTTATTAAGATAGAAAATTTTATATCATGTATAAAAACTATATCAAGTGAAGAAACAACTAATTTTCTTTTTGTCAGTATTTTTTGATATTATAGATTGCCAAGAAAAAATGATATCAAATAAAAAAACTCAATTTGTATAAAAATTTTGAAGAATCTTTTTTAAAATATTGAAGGTAGATGTAAAATTATCTTTAAATTTTTATTTTGGAACTAATAGATAAAAAATATAAATAAATCAAGTTTTAAAGTAATATTTGAGATGCATTATCAATTACCATTAAAATAATTAGACAACTCTTTTTCCATTAGTAGAGTTTGATTATAATAACACAATACATAATTCTATTCAATAAACACCTTTCTATGCTAATTATAATTATCTTGTATAATTTAATATTTTTAACTTTTTAAAAGTTGATAATTACGTGGTAAAAGATTTGGCAAATTATTTATCAATGCTACATGCAACAATGAATGCATGATTAAAAGAAACTCAAGAATGTCAAAAGATTAATACAAATACTTATTGCATGATAATTAGTTGAAATATCTCATATATTAATGCAAATATGATGTTATTAAATGCACATGGAAGCCAACCAAAAATCTTGCAAATACAATAAAGAATGTTCATACTTTTTATCAACAACATCTATCAAAACCAAAATGAAGAATTAAGCAATTTCTTGCTTTAAAAAAATAAGGTTTAGTAATGATTATATCCTATTATCTATTATTTGTTGTGGTTTTTGTATATTTGTAGTGCTAAAGCGATAGAAAATCAATAACTAGCAAATTCAACTCAAGAGCTATCGTTTACTATTTATAAGAAAATGCATTGAAATTATTACAACTTTCAAGATAATATAACAGAGGTGAAGATCCTCAAGGATAATATGTTCTTCATTGTATAGATAGTGATGTAGAATGTATTTGATATCATGACATTAGAAGAAACTTTTAATATTTGATAATATTATTGGAATTAAGAACTATCTCTAATGGTATTTTAAATGTTTTATTTGAAAAGATTTACAAAAGCCTCAACAATAATCAAATAACAAGGTGACCTTTTTACATTGGAGTAGGATACTATCAAGGTTAGAGAGGACCTATCTACTATCTTCAAAGAGAACAAAGATCAGAGTGTGTGACAAATATAATTTCACATCTTAGACTTCTTCAACATGTGATCACTATTCATTGTAGAGCTTATTTCTAGAAAAAAGAGAGGAGGGAGGAAGAAGGGAGGGGAGAAGAAGGGAAGAGGGAATAATACAATATATATATATATATATATATATATATATATATATATATCTTTACTTAGATTTAAAGAGTTAGATAGAAATAAGTAAAAGTAAATTTAATAATATCTTATAGAGAAGCTTCTTAAAAGCTTCATAGATGTATATTTGATTAAATACATATTTATAGGTGATTGATAGGTTGAAATCTTAATCAATAAGTTGGCCAAGTATCATACATGTTGATAGCTTGTAGTACAAGTTGGCTATCCATGTACATGTAAGAAAATTATCTTACAAGTCAGATATATGTTCTGCAAATTAGACATATGTTGGAGGTCCTATAAAAATCTTGTTAATACATTTCTTATTATTGGTCTTATTTTAAGAATCTATATCAATTAAGAATATAGTTTTAACAATTTTTTATATTTAATATATTGATGCTACTACAATTGTTGCTATTGCCTCGACTACTTATTGTTATAAAAATTTTTCTTATACTATTTATTAAAATTAAATTCATTTTATATGTAATTCTTTTAAAAGTCTAAAATACAAAATTTTAATTAAAATAATAATAACAACTAAAAAAAAATGTAAAGTGAGTAATAAGTTGTGATTACAATAGCAACTATGTGAAGTGGATGGCATGTGGTAGGTGGCAACAACAACACAATGCAACAATTATGTGAAGTGGATGTGGTGGGTGTCAACAACAACACAGTGCAACAATTATGATGACATTAGCAATATGCTAAACTTATACATATTGGATTCAAAATATTAAGTGCTGCACAATTCAACAACTGCATAATAGTTTCTTGTCCATATTAATTGTCGTTACATTTAAAATGATTTTTACAATCATCAAAATCATTTTGAAGTCAAACAAGCATCCATCTCCTCCACATTCAAAACTTATTCATTTTAAATTGTTCTACATACAGTTGGTGTCAGATAACTAATTACATATACACACATTTCAAGCACTAAAACACTGTATGCAGTTTACATGCTTTGTATCAATGTTCTCTCACACATCTACTCCACATCAGAATATATGAAAGTGCTCAAAAATTGTACCCAATAATCGCTTATGTGGTCATCTGGTAGACCCTGCACACGCAAAGGCCAACGTTAGCATCACCTCATCCATGGGAGACCAAAACTGGTGATTGTGTATTCCTTATGCTCATGCAAAGCATTGGCACAGCCCACTTACCACACTTTTCTCACAACAAACTCTTTGAAATCCAGGCCAACATGCCGGCAACTCATCACCGATGCTCACTCACCATTACTTTCTCCGTGCTTTGTCTAGTTTGCATTAATGCATCTCGGGTATTGTCGACGTTCATGGGATCTCCGAAACAAAGCATGTTTTGAAATGAGTCGTTAGCTTGGATGAAAGCACCATTACTCGTGATCCATGCTTGACAACCTCCAGCAGAACTCTCCTGTGACACTACTCCACTGTCCAATTCCTCACCGGAAGGGCCATCTGTTGAATAATAATCAACCGACGCATCTTTACAAACGCAAGAACTCCATGCTTCAACATTGCATCAACGAACAATTACCAGCCTTTCCATTCTAATTCAAAATCTTTCACTTGAATACCAACTAAGCCAACTGCAAGTCACTATCACTTCTTAATCACCTCTCCACTTTATCCCACTACCACAACTACATCATTCATAAAAGCACCCAACAAAGTCATACCTTGAAATTGGTCTTCAGTTTGCATGAGAGTATTAGGACTGGGATAGCACTCGGGTACCTCTGCCAGAACTTTGGGGGATTGGGAGTTCAAGCAACCTTCTGCAGGCTGCACATATCAAGGACAAAGATGGCATCAATTCGTGCATAGATGTCCATATATGGTTATTTTGTATTCCAAATGCTCATACAAAGCATAAACACAGCCCGCTTACCACACTGTCTTCCATGGCACCAAAGTCCGAGGAACGCGGCTGACAGGACCGCCTGTTGTTCCACGAATCATCCTCCGGGCCATTGCTAGCAGAAGGCTTCGGTAAAGGAGCAGGTGGTATCTCGTCTGCACAAGTCCCTCCCAAAAATCCTGCCTGGGCATTGACAACATGCAAAAGCTCTCAAAAACTGATTTCATCAAGCTCAATTTCATCTTTTATTCACAACTGAGCTCTCTATGAAAAATCTTTGCATACTCCACACATCACGCAAAGAAGCACATGTTTTACAAGTACAGGTCATTCCACACTTTTTACACTAAAAACTATTCAAATAGCCACGCACTGAAACCAGAAACAAATCACCAATGACCACTCACTATCGTAAGATTCCCGCTTGGTTCAGTTCGAACCTCTTCACCCGAATGTGGGTCCTGCAGTTGTGGGAAAATTAACTGCGCATCGAGTGTTCGTGTTCCGGTGTTCTTAGGAGCTGACTGCAAACCCTCAGTAACGCTTTGCATCTTCTTCAAATCTAAAACCAGCACCACAGCTGAGTCAAGCACCCTCAATTCCGCAGATCGGCACAAAATATTTGCTGTATAAATTGGCAACTCTCACAAACACTACCCTTCTTTTATGATCCCTACCTGATCGCCCCAACCTTCAAGTTTCCCAACGTGCTTCACAAGGCCTACACCTCCCAGCAAGCGCTGCGACTACAGATGTTGGATCGCGACCTCTCAAATCCACCACAACTAAGAAACACCGCCACACCTGCTAATGTAAAACTTTCTATGCTGAATCAAGTGCATCACTACTGTGTACCTTCCAGCTCGTGTGCTATTGCTTTGTGCTCTTCTTCCAATACCGCAAGTAGGTCGCAATGGGCGCATGCACCCAGCAACTTCTTCAGTTCATTCATGGTTTGTTGGAACTTATCAGGACCCTGACGAAGGCTTGGGGCTGGCATCGAGGAACATTCTGCAAGGATGACATAACATTACAATGTTAGGACGACACAGTTTCCGACATCACCTCGGAATGAATTCACCTAATAATCTCGCCGGATTAGAAACCACACAACACCAAGTCGTCTTCCAATAGAATTCTAGGTTCCTGATACAATCCGGGTTGCAGAGTGGCATCAACAGCCGTTTATGCGGCAGAAGCTGAGTTGTCGTCAAGCCACACACAGCGACTCCACTGAAAATAGACGCACGATGAGACGATGACTTACCAGCGGGACTCTTCGTGAGCGCCGAACCTTGGTGCGCGGCATCACCCTCCACAACCTGGTTAAAAGAAGCGACAGGAAATGTTATGCTTCAACTAGACAGTTGGGTAGCAACAGATGTGATGCACATCACTTGAATGAATTGAGAAATTCAAATCCCCAAGCAAGCAATCTACACGACATGGCATTCTGCCGATTATCCTGCGCAAGTATCTTGGCGTAATTCTACAATCGAAACAGAAACGCGACGAATTTGTAGAGCATCTTCAAACTCACGTGATATTTTCGATGGGACTCGGACACCCTTTCCACTTCTTTGTGTATATAATCCTTCAAAACCTGTCGTTTACCTGGTAGAAATTCCAGCTTCCCGTTCGATTTCGTGAAAAGACCAGGAGGCAATTCGATTGAGCTAGTGCAACGTTTACATATCGCAAGGCACTTGCCTTGAATTCCTACCATTTCTCTACACTTAGACTCGCACGCCTTGACGATATCATAGTGAACGCCTAACTCGTTTCCTGCATATCTTGGTGGCGCATAGCACTTAAACTCTGGGCCACCACGAACAGTGAATCGCACACACCCGAAATCACGTCCCCCCGAGCGCTTACTCCGTCCAGGAGTCTTCATATCTTGGTCTCAGCAACACCTAGCGACCTTGCCACCTCCGAAGAACCGCACACCCTAAACGCCCTGACCTCAGCAATTACCCTTCCAAACAGCATGTGGGTTGGTATTTCACCAACCCCTCGAAAACCATCCAAAAACTCATCTGTGCGACACGAGTTAAGTACATATGCGGAGTGGGTTTAAAGAACGCTCAAGTGCTTGCGCTCGGTAGGTTATATGGAGCCATTTGTCTGCATGTCTGCAGAAATTAGGCAGCTACAACACATCCATGTCTGCAGATATGCATGGATGACAGACAGATGAAGTTACAAAGTCCAAGTACGAGCAGGTCGGTGCTCAGCCTCACCGCAGTTTCTAAGTTGTTCGATACAAAAATATCAAAAATTGATTTGATCTTCATGATTTATGAGCTTGTGCAGTATCACTATTTCCCAATGATGCTCCAATGATTGTTTTACGTAATGGTTTGTTCCGAGTGTGAAGCAAGGCCAGTGCTCTAATACTGCCCCCTGATGTAGAGTCGGGACTCATTTTTTTGTCTCTGTTAAGACATTCTACTCCATATTTGTTTGCATGATATTCAGCCAAAATGTAAGGAACGTAAAAAGTTATCAAAACTCTCGATTGAGGTAAAAGTGTCTATTTGCAGCAGGATTAATTGTATTTGCAATTTTAAGTTTACATGAATTCATGGAGTTGCGAGTAGTTCATACTTCCAATCAGAAATTGTGACTACGTGTATTTGTAGGCGTCATTTTTATCTTTTCTAAAGCACACTGTGCACATCATGAGAGATAGACTAATTTCACAATTTTAAAATGTCTGATTTCATAAAAACAAGAATAAAAATTTTTTAGTTTCTTTGACTTGTTAAAACTTATGTTATAAATACTATTGAAATAATGATGACATTCTACATATAGATCGAACTACAATTTGGTAACTTCAAAAAATCATTAAAGATAACATGGAGATGAGAAAAAAGAAATGCTCTTCCTGATAAAGTAGATAAGAGCAGAGAAATTACATATAAGTCTTTTAAAGTTAAAAAGAAACTGTTTTCTGATAGTCTTTATGTTTTTCTCTATTTGTCATTCAACATAAATACTAGAAGTACAAAAGAACTCTGATCAGTGCATATTTTCGTGTCATAGTTTTGATAACACCTCTAATTATAATGCTTCATAACCGGGGTCATAAAAGACACATCCACAGATGACGTCTCGTAAGAACCAATCTCCAGCGGATATCTGTTAACATGTGACGTTGCTCGAAGTTTGGTACTTGAAAGCTTCGCTCGGCGTACGATTCACAGAAGATTCTGCCTGAGAATTCACATGTAAAAGCTCTTGAAAACTAATTTCAGTAGATTCCATACTTTTTTTTGTATACAACAAAGTTCTGAACGAGAAATCTTTGCATCCTCCACATATCAGGCAATGAAGCACATTCATTACGTGTACAAGTTATTCAATGACATTGTCACTGGAAATCATTCAAAAAGCGGTCAATTAAATCAAAACCAATTTAGGAACGATCACTCACCATCATATTAATCGTTCGTGTTGTGTCCAGCTTGCATCACTTCATCCGAGATTGACATGGACTTTTGGAAGAATTGACCCCTGATCCGTTTTTCGTTTTCCAAGAAGATTCGAAGCATTCATCAATACCGCCAGTACATGACGTTTGTTATAGTCATCTGGAATCAACACAATAACAGAATCAAGGACCCTCGATTCCGAGCACCGCCACAAAACATTGATGGGCAGACCGGCGAATCTCACAAAAACGAAATTTGAGAATAAAATTTGAGAATCATTTTCTAATGTTTGTTGCATGCCCCACACTTCAAGCTTACGAGTGTGACTCACAAGACCAGCGCCTCCCAGCACGCACAGGGACTAAAGACACTCAATCGCAAACAAAAAATCCATCACGCCTAAGGTACAACGCCAGCCCTTACAACATGAAATTAATTTGCTGAAACAAGTGCGTCAAAACTTCGTACCTTTCGCATGAAGTACAAATTTATCAAAGTGAGCTTCTATTGCAGCAAGTTCTCGAGCAATTTCAGGCGCATCCTCAGACGCCTTCAATGCATTCAGGGCCTTCTTAAATTTCTCAACATCATTGCGACTATCCGGTGATGGTGACGGAGCCGTCACCATTTTCTTCGGATCATGTACACTTCCTAACATCTTGTCACAATCCCCACAGGCGATAGAAGGCGATACCACGGAAGAATCTGCCATACTGAAAGAACATTAATATGCATTCACGACACAGTTCCCGACATCACCATGCACTGATTCTACACCAAAATCTCGCCGGATTAGAAAACACACAACCCCTAGCCGTCTACGCATCGAACTCCAGAGTTCTCATACTATTCGCCTTGCAGAGTGAAATTAACAAATGGAAATGGGTAATTTTCTGAAGCAAGTGCGTAACAACTGCGCACCTTCCATCTCGCGTGCTTTTGCATAATACACTTCTTCGCATTTATCGAGTACATAGCGATATACATTTCCACCAACCATATCCTTCAGTTCATTCATAGCTCCTCGAAACTTGTGATGATCCTGACTACAGCTTGGAGGCGGCTTCTCAAAACGCTCTGCAAGAATGACTGAACATCATAATGAAAGGACGAAATAGTTTCTTACATCACCTCTGAATGCTTTTAACATAAAAATCTCGCCAACTTAGACAAGATACAACCCCAAGACGTCTTCGAATATAATATTGTGTCTCTGATACAACTCGCACTGCAGAGTGGCGTCCCCTGATGTTTATACGGCAGAGGCTGAATCGTCGTCAAAAGCGGCGTCTATGCAGCGAAAGCGCTGCGACTACACACGTTGGATTGCTCTCAATCCCACCACAACCAAGAAATACCGCCACATCCCCAAATGTGTAATAAATGTGTACCTTCCAGCTTGCGTTCCATTGCATTGTACTCTTCTTCGCATACCGCAAGTTTGTTGCGAAATGCAGGTTCATCCGAATACTCCTTCAGATAAACCACAGCCTTTCGAAAATCGTCAGCACCCTTACCACGGCTAGGAGGCGACACCTCGGAACATTCTGCAAGGACGGCACAGTTATTGACATCACTTCGGAATGATTCCACCTAAAACTTTCACCGGGTTATAAAAAACACACAACCCCACATCGTCTCCGAGTAGATTTTTTGTTTTCTGACGCAACTCGCGTTGCAGAGTCGCATCGAGAGACGTTTTATGCGACACAACCCGATTTCTCGTCAAACAACAAACCACGATTCCACTAGAACAAGACGCACAATGAGATGATGACTTACCAGCGACCGGGCCCTTCTGCGAGGCATCATTCCTTGACGGAGTGGCGTCATGTGACGAACGCTTAGGCTCCGCAACCTGGTCCTAAGAAGCGACAAGACATGGTATGTTGTAGCTGAACAGTTGGGTAAGAATAGAAGTGATGAACATGACTTACTTTGATTGAGAAATTGGATTTTCTAAATGACCAACGTACGCAGCACTTCATTCCGCCGATCATCCTGAACGAGTAGCTAGGTCTGATTCCACGATTGAAACAGAAAACTCAACGTATTGAGAGAGCGTCCTGAAGCTCACCGGATGTTGTCGGTGGAATTCCAATGGCCGTTTCGATGCTGTGCGCACACATTTATTCCCCGGAAGTTGTCGGTGGGGTTCCATTGCCTTTTTCGTTTCTCGGTGTATATGTTCCAGCAACACTGATTCATCGAGTCCTATCTCCCCGTTGTTCTCCGCAAACAAAGTATCAGGTAATTCGCATTCAAGATAGCAACACGGATGATTCAGAGAGTAGTTCCTCCGACCTCCTACGAGTCGTCTGCACTGGTCTTCAACAATCTTCACATTGTCTTTAAACAACTCCAGGTCGACGTCTGTCTTACAGACTTTTCTGGAATACAACTTAGTCTCTATGAAATCAGGAACCTTGAAGCGCACACAACAGCGTTTGAGCGCACGCACATTCTGTTCAGGGTCATTCATATCTCAGACTCAACTGCACCTGGCCGCTCTGCACCTCGACACCGTCACCGCAACCTCCGAACAGCAGCACAGCTCGACGCCACTGAACTCTTGAAAGCATACGCTTCGAAATTGACGTGAGTTGGCGTTTGCACCTACCTTGAGGACCACAAATCGAACCTTGCGAGTGGCGTCGAAAAACCGCATGAACAAAGAGAAATGCAACCCTAGACACATGCCGACAAAAGTGAGGCTACGCCTTGTGCATGGGGTAATATTGGGATCTCCAGAACCCAGTCTCACTGGGAAATTCTTGTAAGGGAAATGTCTGCGGCCCCAGCCTTTACCCGATCCTGACAGCCAGCGCTACGCTACTTTTGCAGAGGTCCGTGATCCGTTAGGCCAAATTTTATTGCTCAAAGATTTTGATTTAATTAAACTTATACTTATTGAATTTTATTTAAATTTTAATTAAATAGCAAGAAAATGTTAACATGTTTAGATAGAATTTTGCAATGAAAAATTTATATGATGTCTTAAAATTATATAAAGATACTTTGGAACAGTGAAGAAGATATTTTAGATTTAAGAAACAAACATTTGAAATTTAAAATAAATAGTTAAAGTAGTTATATTTAAAAAAATATCAAAGTAATATTATAATCTAAGTTGGGATAAGATAAAAGATTAATATATAAGAATCAAATGGCAATGTGGTACGTCAATGTTTCTAATATAAAAATTATAACTATTTTTTTATTACATAAAGTAGTCAAGAATATAAGAAATAAACTTTGTAATTAAATTTTATTTTTAGAAAATAATTTATTACTATATATAAAAATTATTTTAAGTGAATCTTTTATTTTTGATTTTTTTAGAATAAAAGTTTATATAATTAATATTATAATTGAATGAAATATTTTTTTGAGTATATTGAAGTAAATAATAGATAAAATATAAATAAATAAATAGTACTATAAAGCCGAAAATACTTTATACTTTAACTAATTGTCACAAATGTGTTATAATATTTATTAAAAACTTAAAAATATATATTTTTAAAGATTTATTAAGCATATATAATATGCTAAGATATTACTTGCCTAAAATTTAATTTATAATCAAGTAGGTAAAATATTTAAAAGAAAAAGAAAAAGAAAAAGAAAAAGAAATTTATTAAATTATAAATATCTAAATTTAAAACTATAATAAACTAAAATTAAAGAAATTTATATTTTAGATTTTAAAAAATTATAATTTTTTTCTTGAAATATCATTTTTTGAAAGTTTTCATAAAAATCATACTATTAGGTGTATTAATAGTAATTCTTGTAAAAACAAGAATAATATTTTACATAGTTAAATTATTATTTTAAAATAAAAGACTTTTCAAAGATTTTGTGATCTAAATCAGGGTTTTTTTTTTCTTTGTAACCATTATTTTCAATAAATATTTGTATAAAAGAATAAAACCAAAGATGTTCCAAAAATAATCTTAAATCCATATATAAAGAGTTTTTAAAATAAGCATGTTATCCTTTTGGATCAATTTGGTTTGAATATACTTACTTTATTAGCATTGTTATAATGTGAACTTATTTATACTGGTGTCATAATATGTGTTGTTTTGTTTGGAAATGCATAAGGCACTTGGCTGTGGAAGGTGAAGTTGTGTTTTATAAATATCCAAGAAATCCTAATAGGTTTCAACCATCTAAATACAAAGTAATTTGAATTTTAATTCAAAAGTGCTTAAAGCTAATACAAGGTGCTCAAAAACACTCTTTTTAGTAACCTCAATCATACACAAATTCCAATGGCCTTATTATTTTTATAATTGGATAATTTTGATTTCTCATTGTAAGCCCTAATCTTAGTTAATAAATTTTAGCAAATTATAACTCCTAATCTAATTGTCTACTTGGTGCAAAATTTTGCAAAGAAATGCCATTAAAAATCTTCTACATAATCACAAAAATTTAGCCCAATCCAACTTACAAATTGTGAGAAAAAGCCCAAAAAACCAAACTATTGTCAATGAGCCACCAACTTGAAAGTTGATGCAGATGTTCTAGTAGTGATTTCTCCTTCTCTAATTATTAACTTTAATTCAAAATCAATATCTAGCTTGATCTTGAAGTCTTCTACTACCATGCCAAATTTCACCTTGATCTAATAAGTAAATCTTTAGATATCATAGAAATCTTATCCAACTCCAAACTACCAATTTCTAATACCCTCTTGTATTAAAACCCAAATATCTCTCAATTTTACCATTAGATTAATACAAAATTTTACACACACTTAGAAAACTTAATTAAACAAATACTATCAAATTTTGAATCATAGATGTGATACTAATTGCACAAATTAGCCAAGAGTACTAGCCCTAATTGTAATGCATAAATCCCAAATCACCAATACAAACCTTGACTTTGAACAATAATTTCAAAGTCAATCCAAATCCTTTGAAAAAAGCCTTACATCTTTGGAATCAACTTAAAGTTAGCTCACTAATTCTAATTACCAATCTTCAAATTTTTCCTATTTTATCCTAAGCCGTTGTTTCAGTGGCTGGAAATTTGATTTCAACCCTATCTTATAAATAGTCGACCTTTGGTTATCAATCTATAAAATTATATAAATGGTCCACCTTTGGTTATCAATCTATAAAATTATATAAATGGTCGACTTTTGATTATCAATTATATATTAAGCTATATGGCAATGTTCTATAGGATCTCCAAATATATGTTGACTTTGTAAGATATATAATTTAATTTATAAAGCAAGTTTTTTATATGTAGGCCATATAGTTAGCTTTTTCTATAAGCTACCAATACAAGTAATACGTGGTTAATTTGTTAGCTAAGTTTTTCACCTATCAATCAATTTTAAACATATATAAAGTCAAAGTCATATCTATAAAGCTTCTCTAAAAGATATTATAAAATTAATATTTTTTTATTTACTTCTATCTAATCATATAGGTTATTATTGAAGTAAATATGTATGTTCGTGACATAATCTTTTCTTTTAGGATTGAATTCCATAAGGAGCAATCATCATCTTTTATAGATCTTATAGTTCTTCATCTTAATTTTGATGGATGTCATCAATGAAAAGTTTCAACCTTCTTTGCTACATTTGCAAGGTTTTTTGTTGGCTCTTATATGTGTTCACTAATATCATATCCATTGTTATGATGTAATATAGCTAATAAGTAAAAGCGTGAAGAAAATATTATATTATAGAAGTTTCTATTTCAAAATATTACAATAAATTATCTTAGAAATATAGATAATAGTCAAAAGGTAGTAACACTAATAGTGCAAATGTTGCTTTTTTGCAACGTGGACTTCTTCTTACTTTGTAGGGCCATATATAAGGCAAAATAAGATAGATTAGAAAAATAAAGAATATACACATATGTATAAAGAAGTTAGAAGTTTATTTTTATAAAAATTAACTCAAGAAAACAAGAATTGATACTCGAAAAGGACCAATTGCCAATTAAGATTGAAATTAGACCCTCATGTACAAAACTACACACCTATGGCGACTTTGAGGTTTTTTTTACAAATTAAAGAGTGGAATTTGAAAAAAGACTTTATAGGATTTCTTTGAGTATTAAATTTGGAAAATTTGAGTTTATAATGACTTTATAAGAGCTTTGTAAATTCAAGTTTATTTTCAATGAATTTAATTTTGTGAAATAAAAAAAGAATTTATATTTGGAAGAATTTTGTGAATTTGGTAGTTGATCTACAAGTAATAATTTGTGGATTTATGATTAAAATTCTAATTGCATGTTGTAAATCTAAACATGATCAAACAGTTAGATTGAAGGTTATTGAAGTATAAGTAGGTTGGAATGTCAAAAATGAGATTTGACAGTTAATCAAGGTTTTTACGATCTTTAACAATCTACAAGCTAGATTGAGATAAAATTTGTGTAGGTATATAGTAGACTTAATTTTTAACATATGTATGAATATTGAAAGATATTTAATAGTAGAATTAAGAAATTTTGGCTTAAAAAAATTGGCATCAAGATTGAAGAAGGAAGCACTTGAGCGGATTATAAGATTTATCTTCTATTTGATAAATTTGATCTTCTTAAAATTATTTTTGCTTCTTGCTAACTTAAATGTTGAAAGATGTGCAAAATTTGTGTTGAAATCAATCATTTGGTTGTTAGTTACAGAAGTTTTAATCTACTATAGAATTTTCTAAGAATTTATTTAAGATTTAAGATTGGTTTAAAGTCTAAAATTTGATTAGGATTTGTTAAGAATTTACCTAAGATTTTATTAGGATTTTTCTAGAATTCTTTTAGAATTTGATTTGGATTTTTTTAGGATTTGATTAGGATTTGTTTAAGATTTGATTAAAAATTGTGTAGGATTTGTTTAGGATTTGTCTAGAGTTTGATTAGAATTCAATTAGGACTTATTTGGAATTTTTTCTGTATTTCTTTTATAATTTAATTGGACTTCATCAATCTTTGATTATATTTGTTAAGCTTTAATTGCAATTTATATATGATTCTATTAGAATTGTTAAGAAATGTTATTGTAATTTTGTTTTATCTTCCACAACCAAGTACCCAATTTTATATAGTAACACAACTATATGATAAAAAATAAAAAAATGGATGTTATTATAGAAGATTTTAGTGTGAAAATAAGATAGAAAAATAAGGATAAATAATAGGAAGATAATAAAAAGTTTAGTCTTAATGCTGCTTTTTAAAGAAGAGGCTTCTATTTGCTTTGTAGGAGCATAAATGCCTCAAATCAAAGTAAATGAGATAAATAATTGATATAGACATATTTACAAGAAAGTTAATAATAGGTTCAAGCAAAAATTACCTCAAATTACTTAATATTGATACCTAGAATGGGCGAATTGTCAACCTAGGTCGAAATCAGATCCCAATGCACAAAATTACATACCTTTGGCGATTTTAGGATTCTTTGATACATCAAAGAGTATAATTTGAGAGTAAATTAGCAATGAGATTTTTGAGCATTGGTTTTATGCTAATAAATTTAATATTCAAATTTTGGAAGATTTTCAAATTTAGTAATGTTCTTGGTTGGATTAGATTTTAAAAAATAAAATTATATTTACAAAATTAAAGGTTTCTTGAGTTTTGTGGTGTATATATAAGTGAATTTTGGACAATGTGTTGGAGTTTTAGTTATTAATGTGTGTGCAAATTTTGAGATCAATTAAACTATTAGATCAAAGTGTGTAAAGGTTTTTGTGGGTTGAGATTTCAAAAATTGG